AAATATTTTGTTTTTCTATATAGGGTTTCATTGTTTTGGAGAAAAGATTTTTTCCTCTTTCTATTTTTTCTCTCCCCCCCCCCCACCAGTTTACACCCACTCCCATCCTCCATCACCATCACCTACCTATGTTTTGAGACAGGGTCTCTCTGTGTAGCCCCAACTGTCCCAGAATTCACTAGACTAGGATGGGCTGAAATTTACAGAGATCTACCTGCCTCTGCTGGGATTAAAGGCATTAGCCACTGTGTCTAGGCCCCTTTTGGCTTTTTGAGACAGCTTCATGTAGCTCAGATTGGCTTTGGATTTGCTATATAGCTGAGACTAACTTTGAATTTCTGATCCTCCTCCCTCAGGCTGCTGTGTGTTTAAAAGAATGTGCCACCATACTCAGTCTAGGAACAGACTTTTAGAAGGAGCAATAGGATACAAAGGAGCTGTCTCAGGATGGCCAATAGATAGGGAGCAAGAGAGAGTTGCAGATCCCTGTCAGTGGGACTATTTTCCTTGGCCGCGGTCCCTCTCAGGACTATATTGACATTCACCACCAGTAGCCACATGATGTCCAGGGTGTACAGGGTTCTGGGAGACATTCCCAATGTAAACTGTTAGGACTGTGCAGCGAAGTTACACAGCAGGTTCATAAACCACGTCACATGACTGGTTCAATGTTGGGGGGGTTATTAAGGGAAGGGGGAGGGTGTCACTGGGCAAGGGAGAAGAGAGAGAGAGAGAGAGAGAGAAGGAGAGGGAAAGAAAGCCATGGTGGGGGGAGCGAGCGCCCCAATAGAGAGGAGAAGAGCAAGAAGGCAAGAGAGAGACAAAGTGGCAGGTTGGTCCTTTTATGGAGCAACTTAACCACACCTGCCAGAAGCAACACCAGGTAGGTCACACATGATGACATCATAGGTTGCTAGACAACCAAGAAGCAGGCTGCCTAAATACTAATATTCCTCAGTTTTTCTATAATTAAAAAATGAGGAGCTTGGGCTGCTTCTCATGTAAGGCAAATTAACATATGTTCTTTGGAAGCAGCTCTTGTTTGCCATGCAAGGGGGTAAGAGAAAGAATGAAAAAAAGTAATAGCAACAAAATGTCCAGATTACATATTAAGGAGGAGAGGAAGCCCCTGCCCTGGAAAGTTGAGGGTAGAGGGTGGAGTTGCCAGCCCTGCCTAGCAGCAGATAGGGACTGAGGAATGCTGAGAAAACCTGGAGCTACATGTCCTGGATCTGAAGCACATCATTCTAGCCTTTTGTTATTAATAAGTAAATAATGGGCAGAGATTCTCTTCTGTCTACTTCTTGCTGAAACTGGGGGCCCTGTAGGGAGGTCAAAAGGCTGAAATGCTGTCCAAGTCCAGGAAGAACAGGTTGCTTTGATATTGTCCAGGGTCTCTGAGGACATTCATGGCTGGAAGGGAAAGTGCAGATCCAGCTTGACAGAAGTCTGTAAGGTCAGACTGGAACACCTGTGGTAGCTGCTTTGGCATTGTCATGGATATAGAAAACACCTGGATTCATCAGGTTACTGGAACATATATATAGGTAGAAGACAAAGTAGGTTATGAAGAAAATTCCTTTAGCTGTACATTTCAAACTTTTGGGAGAACAAACAGAGACAGAAGAGACTTGAACATGACAACCTCCATTTACCTGAGGGAACCTCCATTTATTTAATCGACCCTCTGAGATAGGTAATAGCCCAATTGACCTGAGACGTGGATTCAGGTGGATTTCTTGCAGCTTACAAGAATTACTTTTAAGCTTTGCAGAGATAAAACTTTAGAAATGTTAGCATTATAATTGTAATTGGCAGTGAAATATACCAGGCAGTAGACATACACATTTGTGTTAACAGCATAAACATTTTTTAAAGGTGAGTTCTGGAAAGCCAGAAGCCTCTCGTGAAGTAGAAGGGGCAAAAGCTCACTTGATCGTAACCTTTAGTATGATTACACATACTAGAAGAGAGGCTTTTTTTCTCTCTATCCAGAGAGGTTGTATGTACATAAGTATAGCACAATGAGAAACAATTTTTTTAAGTCTATACTTAAAAGACAAACCAAAGGAGATTTAAAATCTTGAGCTTGGATCCATTATAATGGGTGGTATAGTAGAATGTTTTTGTATTAGAGTTAGTTAGATTAATAAATTAGAGCTCTATTGCTCTATTGATAAAGGTCAAAGCTCTAAACAGTCAATATAAAAGCAGCACAGCAGCAGGAGGAAATATTAAGCATTTTTTTTTTAACCTATTTAGGATACCTTAAATCACCTTAGACCTTGCAACCGTTATAACTTGCATTTACAATCTTCATACACTTTTTAGACCCTCAAACATTTTCTTAGGGCTTTGTATGCAGTTATTTACCATGAGACATATGTGAGACTGCTGTTAACATTAATTGTTCTTTAGCTAAAGGGATTGCAAAAGGTTACATCTGAGACCTATTTCTTGAGTCTGGCAATGCATATTGTGTCTAGGCCTGACAGTAGAAACTCTAGGATTCAGGCTTAAGGCCTGATCCCCGACATATAAAGAGAACTGAGAAGACATCTGAAGTCTTCCAAGACAGAAGTTGGCAATATGTCCAATGGGGCCCAAGTGTGAGGCCAAAATAGACCTATCTATAATGTTACCCTGGGCTGGGCCAGGGTGGTGGAGGTCGCTGAATCTAGGAACCATTTGTCTTCCACCATGCCAAGGAGCTTGAAGGCTGGAAGTGACTGTGGCTCTTATGCTCGTTGAGCCTCCATGGCTGGGCACAGAGGACAAGCCTGCATGGGAGCACTTTGACTTCCAGAGGCCAGTCTGCCAGCAGGCAGGTTGAGGCAGCTGCTAGACCAGTGTACTTCCTGGCTGCACTGAAAGAGTTACCTGGCAGAATTGACTTTTGGCTATACCCCAGGAGGATGGGGCATTGCAGACCTCATGGTTTTTTTTTTTTTTTTTTTGTGCAAGAAAGCCAACAGCCTTAGAGCAAGGTCTGGAGCACAGTTTTTTCTGTAGATGAGCCTATCAGGAAGACTCCTCTCTTATTATTTTTACCAACTCTTGTTATGATTACTCAGGGACCATCTTCAGCTGTTTAATTAAGTAAGTAGTGAGACCATGTTTGCATCTATAGGACTATAAATATATTTTTGTACATGTTAAAGAACATGATAATCTATAAGATGACTGACTATTAACTTGCATTTGTTAATCATTAAATATTAGGACTTTAGGTTTTGTCCCTGTTAAGTTGGAGCCTTAAAAGTCACAAACATTGTCCATTAAAGTGAGAGCATAACAGATTCCTGTATGATTTAGTATATAAAAAGTTTATAGCTGGGGTTGGAGAGATGGCTCAGAGATTAAGAGCACTGGCTGTTTTTCCAAAGGTCCTGAGTCCAATTCCCAGCAACCACATGGTGGCTCACAACCATCTATAATGAGATCTGGTGCCCTCTTCTGGCATGCAGGCAAAACAATAAAAAATCTTTAATTGTTTTTTTTTATAATCATATCCAGTTAAACACCTTGAGTCATACTACAGTAAATGGATATGTTAGTGATCAATGATTCTATGTTTACTTATGTGTATGTTAAACATGTGGTTTTATTTTTTTCTCTATGGAAACACTTTGTATTCTTAAAAATTCTTTAAAACGGACTAAAATGGCTTACCTGGTGGAATGCTTGCCTGGAATGCATGAAATCCTGGGTCCAATCCTCAGAACCTCATAAATTGGGAATGGTGGTTCCTGCCTGTAATCCCAGCAGATCTGAAATTTAAGGTTATCCCTCCATATGCAGTATGTTTGATGCTAACCTGGGCTACATGAGACCTCGTCCATAGACAGAGGGGACAGGATGGAGAAGTTAAATCTGCCTTCCAGAAGGAAGATACTGCATATATTCACCAAGGCTTTTTACTATACACATATCCCTGAAAAGATAGTACAGGCAAATCTTGTCTTTTAAGAATACAAAGTATTTCAATAGAGAAAAAAAGAAAAAACAACAAAAAACCACATGTCCCAGAATCATACAAATAAGTAAACATAGAATCATTGATCACTAACATATCCATTTACCTGAGTATGACTCAAGGTGGTTTACTGGATATAATTATAAAAAAAAATTAAAGAAAGATTTTTTATTATGTTTTGCCTGCAGGTCAGAAGAGGGCACCAGATCTCATTATAGATGGTTGTGAGCCACCATGTGGTTGGTGGTAATTGAACTCAGGACCTCTGGAGGAGCAGACAGTGCTCTTAACCTCTGCAACATCTCTTCAGACCTATTAATTTTTTTTTTTTTAATGGGCAAGTTTGACTGCGAAAGAGCAGGCTGAGCCACTTAAGGCAAAAATCCATGTTTAATTTAATTGTTTTCATGAAGTAGCTTAAAAGTTAAAACAATTAAACATTTATACATTATTTACTTTATTATTTTATATATGTGTCCATATGGGCATACAGGTGTCCACAGAGGCCAGAAGATGGCATAGGATTTTCCAGACCTGGAGTTACAGATAGTTGTGAGCTGCCATGTGGGTGCTGGTAATTGAATCTGAGTCCTTTGCAAGAAGAGCCTGTGTTCTTAACCTCTGGGTCATCTTTCCAGCCCCCCAAAATTGACTATTTATCTGTACTTACTTTTTTTTTTAAGTTGCTGTTATTCTAGAAATGTTATTTAGAAGAATTCATCAACTCATGTAGCAAAAGCAGATATACTGGGTAGGGGGAGATGAGCTGGCATTTTCACATTTTGTGACTTAATGTGGAACATTCAGAAACAATCAAAAAGGCACAGTGATGTTATATATAAAGCAAGCCTTAGTAAATTTGATATAAGAAAGGAGTCTTACGTTAATATTTTTTGTTGGAACATTATACATTTTCAGCTTGTATTTATAAATGGGAGAGTCCTATAATATGATATAAAAAGAAACCACAGAGAAATGACATAAAAAGCCACATATGAAGCTATATAAAGGAAGACAATGACACTCAACCTTCTATGGATAAAAAACCATCTGGACACAAGCCTGACACCAGTAAGACGCCATCCACTGCAATTTCTCCAGTTTTGCCTTTGCCACGTTCTGCTTCAAAAATGACCTAGTAACAGAGAGAGAGAGTGTGTGTGTAGAAAGTTACTTCAAAACAATGGTAGCAAACTGTTGACCAGCTGTATAGAAATTGCCTTTTATATGGACTGCATAGCAATGTCTTGAGTATATAGCAATATGTTTCCCACATGCCAAGTGCTCACAGTGAGGGTTCTCTTCAGAGAAGATGGGGTTGCAGCAAATTTGGAAGGATTCTGGAAAGCCCTGTAATTATGAGCAGGGAACTTTTGCAATTTCCATTTAAAGAAATGAAATTAAAAATAAGTAAAAATCTTTTCTTAACTCTTAAAAATGTTGTATTTCTTTTAAGGGTGGTGTGTGTGTGTGTGTGTGTGTGTGTGTGTGTGTTACTGGCATGCCCCACCGAGCCTGGTTTATACAGTGCTGGAAATTGAGCCCAGGGTTTTGTGCATGCTAGGCAATCACTCTACCAACTGAGCCCCTCTTTGTTCTTCTATTGTGTGACTTTTGACCTTTTTTTCTCAAGAAACTGCTCTTCTGAAGGTCCTCCAAACTGAGTAAACTCTTTATCATTTTATCTTATTTGTTCTTTATCAAATTCATTAGCAAACTTCCTCTTAAACGTTTCCTTTTCCTTTATTATACCTACTTCTACAGTAAAAAATTAACTCACCTGGTCTGAGTTGACCAAAACCTGAATATTTGAAAGAAGGTTTTGTCCCTGACTGCTGACTGAGAATCTGCCTCTAAGCCTGTGAAACAACTTCAATAAAGGTTTTTTGTTTACCCGTAACCTTTAGCCAAGGCAGATGGCTTATGCTCAGAATGATATTTATGATAGGGACCTTGGGTTACATGATATCAATATAGCCTCTGGGAATGCTGGAGACTAAATAACTAAGGTCAGTCATGCTAGCAGTCATGTGGGTAGACTGACCAGTATTAACAGCCTTGAGGGCTTGGAGGGATAGGTTAGTGATAAGTGCTCACCTTGTAAGCACAAGGACCTGAGTTCAACCCCTAGAATGCATGTAAAAAAGCACTGTGTAGTGATGTGCACTTGTAATTCCAGTGCTGAGGAAAAAAGAGGCAGGTGGACACCCAGGCTTGCTTGTCAGCTAGTCTGTCATACTTGGCAAATTCAAAGCCTGTCTGAAGAAACAAGGTGGCCAGGCCTGAGGAACAACACCTGAGGTGGCTGTACTACAACCTTTACATTAAGATACAGACATGTACAAACACACACCCACACCCACACACATGCACATACATACACACACATACACAAATACACCTTTGGATACCAAGGCCTGGGTGGGCTTCCCTGGTGTGTAATACTTTGTGAATCTTGCATATGTAGTTGCTAGGAGAATTAAGATCTACACGGGGGTCTACTGGGCAAAGAAAACTACAAACTTCTGCCTGGTCCTTCCTAGTCTCTGTTTATATCCCATTTTCTCCTTGTTGATTTCAATGTATATAAACAACAACTATAAATGTAACATTTTTTTTATCAGTTCTATGAGACCTTTTAAAGGATCACCTCCATCTCAGTGGTCTTGGGAATTCCCCCAACAGCTACTCCTTCAGTTCAGTTAAAACAACCTTAAAATCATATTCTGACTGCCATTTATTGAGCTAAGTTCCACACATAGAATGAATGAGAAATCTTTTTTCCTGCTTGCTTTTTTTTTTTTTCAACATATTAAAGAATCTATAGCCTGGTTTTCATGGGAGTTAGTAAGAGGATCCAGGTATTCTGACAGGTCATTTCCATAGAACCAGATGAAAACCCACTGATTTGTTACACTGATTAGGCAAGTCTTGCCTATCTTCATACTCCTGAGACCTATGGACAATCAGTAAATAATTTGTTGAAAAAGAAAATTGTAAATATGGAGTTCTTTCCCAACTTACACTTTTGGTAGTATCAATCTCTTGGTACAACTGGATTTTTCCCTTCTTCCACTTCCCATCCTCATTTTCAGTCTCTTCCCATGCCAGTGCATTGTTGCTATCTTTCACGAACACTCGGAGTTTTCCTACTTTGTCTCCAGCCAGCCGGTAATCAAAGAGCAAACAGAAGTTGCGTTGGGGTGTCAAGTTGGGGAGGAGAAGTTTCAATCGGCCAATATTTTTTTTGTGCCCTGCGAGTGCAGGGACTGCCATATAATAACCAGCAGCTTTAAAAGAACAACAACAACAAAAGGTTGTGATAAAAAGTCTGACTATAATACATAAACTAGCTAAGAAAAATGAACAACAGTCTCTCATAGGAAATACTGAAGTCTTTTGCATTTTAGTTGAATAGTTATGCAAAAAATGAGTTATATGGATTGGAGAATTGAAATCTTTTCCTATATAGAGAAGAGATCTCAAGGTCAGAAAGTTGAGGTATTTTCCACTTTCATAAGAAAACAGGAATATAACAGAATGATTACTTAGCACTGAAAACAATTTGCACCTAATGAATTCCAGAACATTCCCACCTTGATTAGTAGACTCTTAGAATGTATTTTCCAGTGAATCAAGGATAGGTATTGTATTAGTGACTTCTGTTGTTGCTGAGACAAAACACCTTCATAAGAGCAACTCAAGGATGAATTTATTTTGGCTCACAGTTCAAGGGTATGGCCCATGGTCATGGATGAAGGCATGGCAGCAGGAGCTTGAGGTAGTCAGTCACATTGCGTCTACTGTTAGGAAATTGGCAAAGATGAATGCTCATCTCACTTTCTCCTTTTTAGCCAGTTTAAAGCTAGATAACACAACACAGACAACCCAGAGGCTAATCTACTTGAGAAAACCTTTCACAGGTATGTCCAGAGGCTTGTCTCTTCGGGTCCTGTCAAGTTGACAGCCAACATTAATCATCATAGGATGACTACTTGGGTGGATCCATAGAGAAATGTCTCATCGAAATATACTTGACCTATCTTGTCCTAATGCCTTCTTGAGGCTCAACCACCATGGGTTAGCACATCATTCCTTGAGTTCTGATGTAGGATGACCAGAGTATATTTCCTTCTATGCTTGCAAACCTTCTATGTATCTTGTAACATGTGGAAGTGGACTTTTGGTTTATCTCTCTTCTTTTCTTTGTAGCTTTAGTAAAATTATGCAACTCTTTAGAAACTATCATTTTATGTGTACAGGTATTTTGTCTACATTATATGTTTGTGCATGTGCATGATTGGTTACCTTGGCATTGGATCACTTGGAACTGGAGTTATAGATTGTTGTAGGGCTCCATGTAGGTGCTGGAAATTGAACCCAGGTCCTCTGGGAGAAGAGCCATTG